GTAATGCAAGGAGCAGAGACGAGGTATTCTAAGATTGAGAAGTGTGCTCTGGCTGTGGTCGTAACTGCTCGAAAGTTAAGACCTTATTTCTTAAACCATAAGGTGAAAATACGAACGAACATGCCGTTGGGAGAAACTCTAGAACGACCATCAGTTTCGGGCAGGCTGGTAAAATGGGCGGTCGAGCTGAGTGAATATTCCTTGTTGTACGAACCAAGGAGGGCCATAAAGGTGCAAGTGTTAGCTGACTTTATTCAGGAGGGCACGAAAGTTGAAGAAGAGGTCGAGGAGCTATGGCAGTTGTTCGTAGTCGGATCTGTGGCTCGGAGTGGGGCGGGATTGGGAATCGTCCTTGTCTCCCCCAGAGGCGACTATTTAGAATTCGCAGCAAAGGTGGGGTTCAAGATATCCAATAATAAGGCTGAATATGAAGCAGTTATAAAGGGCATGAAATTAGCCAAAGCGGGGGGAGCTCGGAAATTGCAAGTACATTCAGATTCTCAGCTGGTGGTTGGACAGTTTCAAGAAGGGTTTGAGGTTAAAGAGGACTGGATGCAGAAATATGTGGATGAGATGAAGAGGTTAAAGGAAGAGTTTGATTTGTTCGAGTTAATACAAATTCCTCGAGGAGAGAACGGTCGAGCAGACTTATTGTCGAAGATTGCCCAAAGCTTGGTCGACTGTAAGAGCAGGAGCGTCACTCTATTGCATCTGGAGAAAAGTGTGGTCGAGACGAATGTGGCGGAGATCGAAGAGGTAGAGGATTGGAGGGCCCCGATCTTGGAAGAGTTGAAAGAAGGAACGATGAAGGTAGTCAGGAGGTTTTTCGAGCATGGAGGTATCCTTTACAAGCGGTCATATGGGGGACCACATTTGCGCTGTGTCACCAAGGAAGAAGGTCGATACGTGCTAAGGGAGATGCATGAAGGTTGCTGCAGCGATCACAGTAAATCGGGGGCCTTGGTCACAAGGATCCTAAGAGCAGGATATTTCTGGCCGACAATTAGAGAAGATGCGAAAGCGATGGTAAAAAAGTGCTTGCAATGCCAGAAACAAGGTCCCTTGATCCATCAACCGGCTGAAGCGATGACAACGATGAGTGCCCCTATACCCTTCGCTCAACGGGGCATCGATCTGGTAGGGCCAATGCCGCAGGGAACGGGACAAAGAAAATTCCTAATAGTGGCGGTCGATTATTTCACGAAATGGGTGGAGGCCGAGCCCTTGGCGAAGATCACAGAAGAGAAAGTAATTAAATTCCTATATAACAACATTTGCTGCCGTTTTGGTGTACCCAAGGTGTTGATTTCCGACAACGGCACCCAATTCAATGGTAAGCGGATTCGAGCGTGGTGTGAAGATATGAGAATCGAACAGCATTTCGCCTCTGTAGCTCATCCGCAAGCCAACGGCCAGGTCGAGGTAACCAATCGGTTCATATTGAATGCGCTGAAAACAAAGCTGGAGAAGGCCTCGGGAGCATGGGTCGATGAGTTGAACTCTGTGTTGTGGGCGTACCGCACGACCCCTAGGTCGACCACCGGAGAAACCCCGTTAAGCTTAGCTTACGGAATGGAGGCATTGCTGCCAATCGAGATCGAGATGCTATCCCAGAGGTCGAGCGCATACAATACAGAACTGAATGAAGACTTGATGATGGCGGCTTTAGACACTATCGAGGAACTGCGAGGGAAGGCAGCAATCAGGGTGGAGGCGTATAAGCAGAGGATGCGCGCGGCTCATGACAAGAAAGTGAAAATTCGCAGACTTCAGGTGGGCGATCTAGTATGGAAACGTGTCGATGTACTCAAGCACGTGGGAAAGCTGGAGCCGAACTGTGGGGTTCTATTAGGAACGTCGACAATGTGCACATTCAAATCTATTGAATAATAAATCCTAACGCAGCGGAATCTATAGTTAGGATTAGGACTTACGGTTTAAAAATTTTTGCCGACTCTGAGACGTTTCTGATTTCCGTTGATGAAGATCGTCTGAACACCAAAGTCTAATGGGCAGTTAGACTTGGCCTTTCTCGATTCTAATCGAGTCACCATGGTGCTCCAATTGCTCATCAAGCTCATCGGATCGTCTCGGACCTTCGGTGAGTAAGTCAGGCTGCTCGGGAACCATCTTGGACTCCAACCGGAACTGCTGGATCCACCTGAGCCGGGTTGTACCATGCTGCCACGCTGCTGGGCCGATCTGGAGTGTGATGGACCATTCTGAAGCTTCCTGGACAGCCTGGTAGCTGGACTCGAGCTGGGTTGCTAGACCGCACGCTGGGCCGCTTGGATTGCATCTGGGCCGCGCAAGAGAGCATCTGGACCAGGACTCTGCTACCTGGGCTATGCTGGAGCATTTGGGCCGCGGACGCACTACAATTGGGCCAAGGAAATGCGCTGCAGAACTGGGCCATCAAGCGGGCTGGGATCGGGCTTGGTGCAAGCTGGACTCAGAGGGAAGCGCGGGCCGCGCGTGGGCCGTATGCGGGCCAGAAAGCCCGCGCGCTGGAACCAAAAAAATATCCTATTTCCGCAAGGAGAAGGATCGAACCCGCGACCTTGCACGGAGAAGAAAACACCGCACGCCACTGGACCACGCTCAATGTTGTGGTAATGGAACCTGGACGCGAGATTAAGAACCTGAACGCGAGCTGAAGACCTGGGCGCGGACATCATGCGTGAACAGTACCTGGGCGGATTTGTGCGCGCGGAAATTCGACGGAAAGCTGTGAAAAATATTTATTCGATGGATACGAAATAATAACCTTTGAATCTTCTATTGTGTGACCTTTACACGATCTCTAATAAATCTTGGTGGAGCGATTTATTAGATTTCCCAAAACCTCTTGATCATCCTCTTCTAAGACCTTACGGTGCTAACCGATTTTTCTTTCGAAGAAGAATCTCTCTCTTTCTTTCTCGCTTGAAGAGGCCGAATTTGTCCAGCCCTTCAGGGAGAAAAAACGTGTAAAGCATGTCCAAGAGGTTAGGGGACTTAGTGTATTTATAGGCTACAATAGGGACCTAAAGGAGGTGCTAAATATGGGCTTATTCCTTTAGGTTTAGGAATCCTTATTATCTTCCATCTCCTTTTCCCATCTAGGATAATATTCCTAATAATTAATTACCTTCTAGAAGACTCCATAGTCTCCTAACCCAAGGTAATATTCTAGAAGGAATATTCCCATCCTTAGGGAATTATGGAATATAATTAATTCCTAATTTAGGAAACCTAATTCTACTCCAATTAATAATCTAGTGTAGGAAATATATCTCCTACTAATCTCCATCTTCTAGAAGACTCCTTAGTCTTCTAATCCCTAGAGAAGATCCTAGTAGGAATA